TTGAATTCGTCTGAAAAGTGTACCATTGAAATCAGTTGGGAAAAATCCACCCGGTCTGGAGGGAATTACCGGTTCCGAATAGGATCTTCAAGAGCTCCCGTTCATTCCGTGGAGATGCAAGGGAATACACGACGTTACCGGTGGTCCGATTCTCCGCTCCGAGTTGGAGTGGCACCATCAATCTTTCATCTTTCACGCCGCACCCCGCAAGTTGGTTAACAAGTTGTGAAATAAGATCGGTGAGATTCGCCTCCGTGAATGTATAAGGCGATACTGTTGAATTCGCCCTGCCGTACAATTGTGCTCCGATAACTCTGAATTATGCCGCAACCTTGAGAGAGATTCCGGCCACCGGCTAAATTGAAAATGAAAAAAAAAGGTGTAAATTATACTGATGGTCATTAAATTTTAAGACGTTTTAGTTACAGACGCTAAATTTTAATTCATTTTTAAGATGTTACCCGTCGTTCAGCGTCGTCGACTATGGAAGGAATAATTCCGAGCAAATATTGTTGTAAAAGAGAAGAAGTATCGGCGGCAACGAACAAAAAGTTGGTGGTGGCACCGTAAACATCGAATGGAGGAGTCAAAGGATAGCCGTTCAAAACGACGTCGATTAAGTATGAAAAAAGTTGTCTGCTGAAACGAGTCAGATCACATAACTAACTTTGGTGGATGAGTCTCCATGTGAGAATTTTCTGCATATCCAATGGCTCGAACTCAAGACTTACTTAAATGACTTCATAGAAATCCCTCGTTACACGGCAAAAGCTCTGTTAGAATCATTGAACAAACATATTCACAACTTGTATGAAGTAATAAGAAATTGATTATCAATTAATCGACATTAAAAACATCATATTAATTGTGGCGTTCTTAATTATCTGCTACTGCTTTGCTATGGAAAAAAAGTCTTATTAATATTTTTTTTTTGATAATGTAACTTCCCTAAACTCGGGTTAGTAGTTCGGGTCAACCCGAGACCCATAGTTGAACTCAAAGGATTTATTAGAATAGCTTGGAGCAAGTTTAGTTGAGTTGGTCTTGTGTTGGGCCTAAAAGGATTATCGAAGGATGTTGGGTATTAATTTAAAGGTGACTTTATGATCAGATTGCGATGCCATTTTGGGGTGGCAGGTGAGCGGTCTAAGATTTGCGTCGACGACTTGTGAAGGACTTCGACAAAATAAACCCGTCGCCACCACTTTGGTTGAGGCACGCTGCTTCCGTGGCATTTTGGATTTAAAGAATCAAAGAGGAGAACAAATGATTTTTAAAAAATATTTTTAAAAATAAAATTATTTTTTTTTTATAAATTTAAAGAATCAAATGGTAAATTTAAAATTTTTTAGGGACCTACCAATATTTTTAATTAGCTAAAACGTGGAAGTTTACAGTATATATTACCAATATTTGAAGCCTGAGGTCAAGCCCTCTAAAAACATGGGCCTTTAATGGATTGGTCGTAGTAGTCCAACTATCAATTGGACGTTCTTAGGCGTTCAAAACAATAGATATACGTATAAATATTTATTGTTCGAATTGATCATTGAGGTTCATTCAAGGCTTAATACACTTTTTTGCATTAACCAAACAATACCAGGGGTAAATGAATTGTTGTTATTCCTTAAGGTTCTAAGTTCGAGCACTATGAATGTCAAAGGTGTAAGCGCTCAATGTCAAATTATTGAGAGTTATTTTCGAACGGATACTTTGGTGCCTAAAGAATTTTTTTTTCTTAAAATAGGTGTCTAATATTTTCAATGTTACACTTTTAGGTGTCTGAACTGTAAAGGACCATAGATTTGACTATTGTCTGATACGTATCACGCATATAAAATTTAAAAAAAATATTTAAAAAAGTTACAATTTTAGGTTCGTAAATTATACCTCAAATTAATTTTCGATACATAAAGAATTTTTCGTTAATAATAGGTACCTACCATTTTCTCCGTTACACTTTTAGATGTCTACTGTTATATTTTTTATTTTTAATAATAAAAATATTGTTTTTAAAAAAAAATCAAACCATCTCTATGTCTTCCTCTCCCTCCCATCCCCACCTCCGGTGAAGACTAAGGGTCGCCATCGAAAAAAGTTACAATTTTAGGTTCCTAAATTATACCTCAAATTGATTTTCGATACATAAAATTTTTCGTGAATAATATGTACCTACCATTTTCTCTGTTACACTTAGATGTTAATGATATTTGTTATTTTAATAATAAAATATGTTTTTTTAAAAAAAATCAAACCATCTCTATGTCGTCCTCTCCCTCCCATCCCCCACCTCCGGCGAAGACAAGGGTCGCCACCGACTGGGTTTTGTTCGAGTAGGGCGAGAAACTCAAGGTAGTGATCGTGTAACGTACGACCACTGTATCCATTGGAGTCATAAAAACAACGAAGGAAAACTTAGAAAATGGTGACCCTTCATGGCGCTTCCCACGACAATCGATGTAGTTTCAAGGTGGGTAGAGTACTAGGTTTTTGTTGCGATTGCTAGACGATTCTGATGGTGTCAACAATGATGGTCACAGACCGATGGTGGCCGAGTGGTGATAGAATTTTGAGATTTTTTTAATATTATTTTTAAAATATTTTTTAAAATTTTATATGCGTGACATTGTTAGATAATGGTCAAGTTTAATAATATTAGGGTCCAAGTTAGGCACCTAGAAGTGTATTAAGCCATAATAATAAATAAATAAAATATAACAATAGTATGTAAGAGTAATAAAGAAAATGTTAGATACCTAAATTCTTTAAACACCAAAAGTCAATTTGAGGTATAATTTAGACACTTAAAAGTGTATTATGCCTTCATTCAATATTACAAATTTTTTTAAAATAATTATCGATTAATTTAATTATTCAAAATACTATTATATATATATATATATATATATGTATGTATTTTTTAAACCGAGACCTATTAAAATTTTAAGATCATAATATACCCAAATCCAATGAAAAAAATACTCATAGATTATAAGTTATTTAACAAAACTAAGGAAAATACTCATAGATTATAAGTTATTTAACAAATAATTAATTTCAATTGTTCGATTTATAATTTCTTGCATAAATTATGAACCGTTAATGTAATTATAAGTAGTTTATATCATGGCATGGATTTTTTTAGTGAAAAAGGTGAGATGAATAAGTTATGACCAAAGGAGAGACGAAAGTTAAAATGGTGTAATTTTGGTAGGTGAGGGTAGGGGTAAATGAACGAGGTAATTGTGACTTATTTAATATCGATTCGGTCAAATTTAATAATACACGATTTGATTGGACTTGACTCGAGCTCGACTCGATTCTTAATGAACCGAAACGAATTACATGATACTCGATTAGAAAAGCTCACGAACAACTCAAAAAATATAATATATGTGATTTTATAAATCATTTTAAATTTTTGAATCAAATTAAACACAATAATATTTGAATTCAACTCGACTCGTTTACGAAACGTGTGTGAGGGAATAAAACAAAGCAGATACATTTGGGAGCAAAGATTCCCTTTGCCCTAATTTTTGTTCTCCTTTGTTATTATGAACTGTCCTGCATTTGCCCAGTTTCAGGCTTTCAAATCATAAATCTTACAATCTTGTTTATGTTGTCCTGTCCCTTACTCGTCCAATTTTACTACACCCCACTTTTTCAGTTCGTCTCGACTTGGCAACGCATTGTGTCATTATTCCCTCAACAATCTGTTAAGTGTTAATTTATGATTTTTTTAAATAGCGGATGATTATAATATAACATATGTTTATAATTATTTGGTAAAGAGTTACATTTGTTCTTATAGTAAATTTAATTTTTTTTTCTTTATTAATTTAGCCCTCGAAGTTGTCTATGATGTTCATCATAGCCTTCGAATTGTCTATGATGTTCATCCTAGCTCTCGAAGTTCATTTTGACTAACATAACCATTAATTTTCTATATTTTTTAACACCAACAATTTTAAGATCAATCAAATATTACTGACTGGCTTGATGATGACGTGATGTTTATTAAAATAATAAATAATAAAATGTTTAAAATAATTACTAAATACAACGGTTAAAAATCCCCAAAAATTGACTTACTCCTTGTCTCACTGAAAAAATAATAAAATTTTGGAATTTGTTCTAACCAGAGTGTTTAATAAATACTTTAACTTAATATCTTAATCCACAAACGTAGAATATTCAGTTCTGTTAGTTAAACAGTCAATGGATTCAAGGGCTAGATGAACACACAGACAACTTCGAGGGCTAAATTGATGCAAAAAAAATAGGGTGAAAATAAATTGAGTTTACTACAAAGATACAGTGACCCTTAGTCTAATTATTTTCAGCTATTGACAATGCAGACACAAATGATAGAACCTAAAACCTCTAACATGATATTATTTGTTACATGATAAAAGGCACCTGTTTTCTATTTAGTATCTATTTATTTATTGCAATAACTATGAGGAACTTTGATATTTTAAATCTTAGGAATACAGGAATCAAGCAAGCTGTGTTTTCTACAAGTGATGGAATTGGAGAAGAGACAAATAAAGGTGGGTGCTTGTCTAGATTTTATAAATCATTGTCTAGAAGAGGGCCCAAAAATTACCAGCACCATTATCGTTTCATCTTTGACAATAGTAGATTAAGTACTAACCCTTTTCTTTATTGTGAAAAGAGCATTGGAAACCAAGTTATCATCTTATGATTCAATTATTCGAACATGTTTTTGTAGGGCCTCGATTGCTAAATCCGCGGAAGTTTAGGGCTTCGATTGCTAAATCAGCTGAAGTTTAGGGTTCAATTATTCAAACAATGGACTTGCATGTTCTTTATTTCGGGAGAAGTGTGGGAACCTACTAATTCCCTTAGTGTTGAAAGCAAAAGACATTCATTACAGTACAGAATCTTCAAGCATTTCTTCATGTGGGAAAATGAGACCAAACTTAACAAAATTCTTAATTTATAAATTAAGAAAAAGGAGGGGAAGTGAGAGATTTTAAGGCCCTACAATATCCCTTAAAGAGGGCTTATAGTGCTCTTAATAACGAAACCCTAAAAGAAATTACAGACAGTACGTAAAGACAATAACTGTAAGACCCTTCAAACCCCAATAAAAAGTAAAACAGCTTTTTGTTTCACATGATTGAGCAGCCACTTTCATCATTATCGTAGTAGTAGTAATGATCTTCACTGAATTTATCGTTCGGATCAGACGGTGGAGCTGGTGGCACGTAATGCATGGTAGGGCAAATACGAAGAGGTTGAGTTAGGGCAAGTGGTGTAATAATTGCTTACCCCACAAAATGGAGAGCCGTAGAGAAAAGGTTTTGAGGGTACATTGGCTGATTCGGAGGGCTCAGATCGATTGATGCATCGGGTCGGGCATGGTCGCCACCGGGTGGTGTATCGGCCTTGGGACCAGGGTTGCCTTTTTGGCCTGAATTTTTCTTTCTTTTTATTGCCTCCACAAGTACTTTGTGGGTCGGTTCCTCGCTTTCGCCTCCCCATTTGGTCCCCTGTTGGATGCTGTTTATCTCTGGCAGAGCCTTTAACAGCAGCGGCGGCGGATGCTCCGCCGTTTTTGGAAGCGGCAGGTTTGGGTTTCTCAGCTGAGTTATTATTCTTTCGGCCATGGTTATCATCAGCACCGGCTTCTACTCCACCGTCTTTTTGTTTGTCGTTGTTATTAGTTTTGCCGGGCTTTTTGTCCTTCTTCTCAGGCTTTAATTCCGGCCAAAGCTCGACGTGTTTCCCCGACTTGGTCAGCCTCTTAATGAGCGTTTCTGCATCCACGCTGCTAATGACCGTCACCTTGTGCTGTTGAGAATCTATCTTCGTCTCATAAACACCTGAAAAGAATAAAAAAAACATAATATACACTGACCATTTTCCAAGAATCAGCAACAGTAATGTGTAAACACATTTTAGCTAGCAATACACACACACGTACGTACCATCATGGCTTGAAGAACTTTCTTGATTTTCTTCTTGCACCCTTCACAATGGATGAGTACTTTCAAAACCCATTTCTACAAAACAGTGAAGAAGCCAACTAATTTAAAAAATTAGCATAAGATGCATTAACTGCACCAGATATAATATATATATATATGTCTGACCTTATATTTCAGTGCTCCTCCTACAGCATCTTCATCAGCACTTTAGTAGCCATCTCCGGGAGAGAATGGAAGGAAAGGAGTGCTGAGTGAAGCACGGGTAACGACTTTATAAAGGAAATGAGAATGATTAAGAGTTATAAGTATATTTATGGGTAAATTTTACGTTTAATACTTAAACTATTAATTTTGATCTATTTAGTACTTTAATATTTTCAAAACTATACTTAAAGTTTAATTTTTATTTCCATTTTAGTATCCCGTTCAAAATTAACATTAAGTTCGAAAATTGAAAGTTTTAGGTACTAAAACGGACCAAAATTGATAGTTTAGATACTAAACACGTTAAGATTTTAACAACGGGTGTTGAAATGAAATGAAAACTAAACGTTAGATATGATTTTGAAAAAATTAAAAGTTTTAGGTACTAAACAGAGTAAGACTAATAGTCTAAGTACTAAATGTTTAATTTTCCCTAGATTTATAGGAGGGGAATTCAGCTAAAAAGTAGTTTGTAGTGATAAATTCTGAGCGAAGAGCTCAAACGCACGAGCCTAGCTTATTCACGTGACTTTCAGACCTCTTGATTTCTACTTGAGACGTGCAGTTATAATTAGGTTTACTTTTATAATATCGGATCAAATGAGTCTTAGACTCTAATCACTTAACGTTTTTATTACATTGGGTTAATTTTTATTTAGTTTTCTTATAGAACAATTTTCAAATGGATTTGATTATTTAAACAAATTTAAATGACCAAACACTTCAATTCTCAAAACCACTCGTCTCGTTTTAACAAAGATGTGATCGCTCAATATTAACAGTCGTTATACCTTTAGCGATAACATAAATGACCAAAGTAACAAGTCTTAATAACAATAAACGTGACCAAATCTTAAAGAAAACGAAACGAAAGTGATCAAATTTTATGTTTTTTTTTATTCAACGGGGAAGAATTTATAAACTAAAACGAAAGTGACAATTTCTATGGTTTACTCTAAATAAAATATTCCGGTTGAATAATATCAGATTTTAATTAAATAATTACCACTGTTTTTAACCTTAAGTCATGTTAATCAACAGCGAATAATAATTAGCAACCATTTTGCCTTTGCTCTTCTTTTGGTTGCTCAAAATCATCGCATGTCCCTTTTTAGCAGCTGCTCCAAAACATTACAGACCAACAACTAAAAAAGCTACAGTATAAAACCTCACATTACACGGCTTTGTCATAGGCGGCCGGTTGTCGGGAACACTACAGAAATAATGCACAACAAGAATGTTATCATCATTAAAAGTCTATCATCCAAATCTCAAAAGAAAAAACCCAATAAACTTTATTGCAGCAACAACCTTGATGTTGTATACGGCCGCACTGAAGGGGGCTTATATCAGGAGTGGACCACACAATATAATAATGCAAAAAATGGATAAAGTCCCACTGCTAAAAGTATTACTATTCAACTTGGCCATAGAGGGCACATGGGGATAGAAGGAACTTACAGAATCATTCCTAGAGAGTAATCCGCAACCAACGATACACTATGCACGAGTTATTAGCAACTAAAATGTCGGTTAGGGAACCAAGCAAGCTTAAATACTTTTCCACTACAATCGATGGACACTCTTCAACCTGGTGTGAACCCGGTAAGCCTGCAGTAGCAACATAAGGTACCTACTTCTATGGCCCTAAAATAATGGAAAGGAAAAAGAAACAAATTCCATTTTTCCATTCTATTGTCTACAAATCCTAAGAGGCAAGTTCAACTTAACATCAGAGCTCTTTGTCTCAGTAAAGATCTAGTCAGATTCACATCCAAATAATTAATGGTTACTCATACACAGAAATTTAAAGAGTTTGAAAGTAACTCTTAGTTTAATGGTATAAAAAGCATTCCATCATACCAAAAGGCACTTCAATATCTAACAGTAAGCAATCAAGAATACAATCTTTAAGTAAGAGACCCAGATATTTCTTATATATAGATCTGGCAACAAGAGTAATTCACCTTATTTGCAGTCATTTAAACTACAACATCACTTCCTTATCAAGAAATGACGAGAACATAACCAATTTTAAACCACAAGATGATGATGATTGTATATGTGTTACAGATAAATTACTAAAACGTTTTCTTGACCACAAGAACACCTACTATCACACCAAGAAGAGCTGACAAGGCTCCATCCCTGGAAAGCCAGAATTCAGTCCATGTCAAGGGCCTTTTGACCAGCGGCAGTACCTCGTTGAACCTTTCCTGCAAATCCCGAAGTGATCCGGTGTTATCTATCACTATATCTGCACGGCTCCTCTTCAAATCTAGAGACATCTGAGCATTTATCCTATTTCTGGCATCCTCCTCTGTTGAGTTATCTCTTTCCATAAGTCGTCGAAGCTGTGTTTCAGGATCAACCCATACAACAACAATGGGTTTTGTCCACTTATCCAACTTGGCCTCAAACAACAAAGGAATGTCGAGAACAATCACCTTATGACCTTTTATCCAGAGCTTCAAAATTTCTAAAAAGATGCCAGAAGATATATAGGGAGCCAATAACCTACGAGAATAAAATTAACCAAATTTCGGAATCAATACTATCCGCAATTCCAAGACAAGGTAAATGACGATGATACATAATCAAGCACTCGTCCAGATTACCTCCAGGTACAAAAGGACTCTAACATTCCTAGCATTTAGGCTACGTGAAATGAAACATCAAAGTAATAGAATTTGACCTGCACGAATTAAGGATCAGAAGACAACGTAACTTCCAATTGCCGTTAAATCATTAAAAAGCACTCTCCTAGGAACTCATGGTATCGATTTGCTATGATGTCCGCGCCATAACAGTCTACTTGAGAAAATCATGTTACAAAACCACTTAAAGGATACCAAATTTTACACCACAAATGCCAATAAAATTTGCATCCTAAAGGTAAAATTCCGACCTTTGGAACTAGTAGGCAACCGGAATAAGCATAACAGAAGAGGAAGTTATGAAAATTGTACCGATTGAGGAGTTGACGTTTAGCGGCATCAGAGAATACGATTCGGCCCAATTTCAAACGATCAACATGGCCATCATCTTGTAAAATGTCCGGCCCAAAGGCCGCCACCACCTTTTTGTACCCGCCGGAACCCTTCTTCAAGGCATCCTGCAAAAAAAAATAGTAGTACCATTTTCTTTTTTCTAATTGTAATTTCATCGAACATGTGATGGGCGAAGCAAGAAAAAGGTGTAGAAATTACACGACCAATGACGTCAGCATCGACAACAGAAATCTTGTCGTGCTTGAACATGGAAGAGACCGTACTCTTCCCAGATGCAATCCCTCCAGTTAGCCCAACCAGCCTCATTTTCACTCTCTGCTTCAGATCACTCAGTTTGACCAATCCCCCCCTGTTTTCTTCGCCGCTTACCTTACCTACTTTTGTGAAAACCTAAAAAACAATTAATAAAGTGGCAACTGGCATATATATATATATATCAACTATATTAAAAAAAAGTTATATTGAATACCTATCAAAGGAAAACGAAACCCTACCGTTTGGGCCATTTGGCTCACCATTTTGCCCAAAATTGCTCAACTTGATCACTTGTTTATTTTCCCCGAGCTGAAAGTGGAACTCTCGCGCGGTAATTAATGCGGTAAACGAGAGGAAACATATTGTTAAGTTATTTAAAATTAATTTGATGGAAGTTTGATAAATATCTGATTTGAATAAACTTAATTGAAATTTAAGTTTGATTTAAGTTCATAACGAGTCGAAATACGTTAGTTGATATTCAATTTAAAAAGTTCGTAATCACCTCGAAAATATATATTAAGATTTTATTTTTTAAAAAATTTATTGATAATATTAATATTATGTATTGATTTTAAAAAAAATACAATAAAAGATTTTCATATATTTAAAGTTCAGGTTCAAATTTAAGTTTTAGACTTTGATCGAGTTAAGATTTTTTTCTCATTTCCAGCTTTTACGAGTTTTATTTTATTATTTTGAGTTCGAGTCAAATTTAAAAATTTTAAGTTAGAAAGTTTTCGAATCGATTCGAACATTATTTTAGACTATTTAAATCCAATCAAACTTAATAATACTCTAATTCAAATCTGCCCTACTCGTTTATGACCTAGCGATAATAATTCCATAAATTCGGGGCTTTAGAATCGGTCAAAGAAGAACAACTTCAATCATTTCCACTAGGTGTTGAAAACAGTAGGAGTCATACTTTATCGGGTAAACACTCTCATTAGTCACTATATTTTTGTATGTATTCTTTTTCAGTCATCAATCTAATTCTTTTTGTAAATTTAGTCATCATTGTTACAGTCTATACATTTTTAATAAAGAGATCATTTATGTGCTAGATTTTTGGTTGCGGAAAGGATAAGCGACCCAACGTTTCAGGATCAAATTGAAGTAACGTTGGATAGTAAAATCATATAATAGTAAAATGCATTTAGTAAATTTAGTAAATTTGTATAATAGTAAAGAATTTCAACAAATAAAAACTTTAAAAAAAATATCATGACTATTTTGATGTTTTCCAAATATATATTTCATTTGATTTAATGGGGTTTAAAATTTTATGTTTTCTATATTAGTAATTTTCTCGTATTTACTTTAATAATACTCTTAGTCATTTATCTAATAAAGGATACCGTGATTAAATATGTTTTTGAACTATCGATGCAGGTTTTTTATTTGATTTTCTTCTCTGTTTACTATTTTACCTGAATACATGGTTGTTGTTTTCTATATGGTACTTATGTTTGTTTGCTCAATACAATTCGTTGATTATCGCATAAAGGTGATGAATAAGATTATTGTTAAGGGTAAATTATTTTTTCCGTTGACCATTTTGATATTTCTTGAAGTTTCTCTCCTCCATATTTAATGTTCGGAGTCGTCGGTATATTCAATTTTTATACATCGTTGCTTTACTTGTTAATAATTTTATTTTTAGATTACCTCTAAACGATAATTGTTATATGTTATTTTTTTCGATAGTCATAAATGTATTTATTTAGTCAGACACAATTTTAATAAATGAATATCCTTATTATTTAAAAAAATAAACTTAAAAGAATGTGATAAGCCATATTCCTTCTACTTTCCTTACGTTTTCTTAAATATTCATCCACTAGGATGCAAAAAAGTGACCTCGAATCGCACTAGTATAATATATAGTACACACATGAAATAAAAAATAAAATAAAAAAAGTAAAAGTAATACACAAATCATCCATCGAATATATAATTTACTTTTTAAAATTTTAAATTATTAAACTTTTAAAAATATTATTAATTATTAAAAAATATAAAATTATTTTAAAACTTTTAATGATAGAGATTTAATAAAATAATATCTTACCGTGAGGGGCTATTTATGACTTTACCAAAAAAATAAAATAATAAAATTACTATATAAAACAGATTTAGGGAATGAGAGTATTAAATTGTAGTGATATTGGCACTAGATGAGATGAAACACAAGCCTCACATAAAGAGAGAAACACGATAAAATAAAAGTCCACAAAGGCGTTAAATCATCAATCTTCCACATGGAAGATTATTGAAGAAAACGCTGCACTGAAACCAAAATGCAAAATATTACGACAGTGCCATTATTCATTAAACACACCACTACTACAGCATGGGTGAATGCCAAAAGCACTTCTTTCTACTGCTTTTGCATCGCGAGGACCTTGGACCACGCCGGCCTAGCGGTGATATCCTTTACCCAAGCGTCAATATGAGGCCGCGATTCTAGCAGCTTCTTCGCCGGCGTAGACAACAGGCACTGGATGTTGGGGAGATGGTACAGATCGGCCAAGGTGAAGTGACCGGAAGCCAAGTACTTTGACTGACTCAACCGAGTCTCGTACACATCGAGAACTTTCCCGAGCTTGGCTTCGTTTTCCTCCACTTTAGCGGCGTCGGTGGCCTGTCCAAAAAACGGCTTGTAAAACAGTTCCCAGGCCAAGGTTGAAGACGGAGAATTGAACTGCTGAGCTTCCACCTCCTGCCACAATGTTAAGACCGCCGCTTCCTTGTTGGAGCCGGTGATCAACAGCTGGGTCCCTTTGCCGGTGTATTCATGGGCCACGTAGTGGGTGATTGCTCTTGATTCTGCATTTCAAAATAGGGTGTTAGTGGAAATTGAAAACTAAATATGGGTTTGGGTCATGATTCTCATGAAATTGTACCGAAGAGCTTCAAATCCCCATCTTCGAAAGCTGGAACTTGACCGAACGGCTGTGTGAATGACGGGGAAAATTAGTTTCTGGGAAAAAACTGATGAAAATATTAAAAAGATCTGAGATACTTACGTTGAGGGCAAGGAAGTTGTCGGATTTTTGTTCACCGGCGGCCATGTTTATAGGAACAAATTGAAAATCGACTCCTTTCTCGTAAAGGCATGCAAGCACCCTCTGAGTAGCTGTGGACAAAGGGCTTCCATGGACTTTAATGGCTGCCATTGTTTCTTGATGAAGACGACGACGTCTCAAATTGCTCAAGTATTCTGTATCCTTTGTGGGTTTTTGAAGGAAACTATTGCTTTATGTGTAAATATATAAAACGGGGAAGGGGAGACACCTTTCCGTCATTGTGGAACGTTCCAGTATAATTAATTTAAAGAAAAGTCAGTATTATCTTCTTATTTTAAAAAAAAAATCGTATCCATTTCAGATTTGAATAAACTAAAGTTCATTTTGAAAAATAAATTATTAAAATATTTTTTATATTTATAAAATTTAAACGTAAAATTTTAAAATTATCCTTTCTTTATTAAATTTTTTTATTAACATAAAGTTATTTTATAATTCCATAATAAAATTAAGGATTAACTATATTATTGACCACTTATATTTGTGTTTTATTCATTTTTCTTATTGATTTCAAAATATATAATATATGGTCAATTTTATTTTTATTAGTTAAGAAATGATCATTTTCGTTTTTATTTAATTAAGACATAGTCACCATGAGTTAATTGTCGTTAACAATTAACATATTAGGTGATGTGACAGTTAAATATTTTGGTATAATCACATATTTGATCCCTGTTATTTACTACATATTCTCTCAATTTTTCGATAATTATCCAATCGAATGATACAACATGTCACCATTTGGTTGGATGACTAACTTTATTATATATAAATTAAATGGAATATGTAAAGTAATAATGACTAAATATCTGATTATACCAAAATACTTAATTCTTGCATCACCTAATCTGTTAACTATTAACGACAGTTAACATATGGTAAGCATATCTTAATTAAATAAAAACGAAAGTAACCATGTCGTAATTAAATAAAAACGAAAGTGACTACATATTGTGTTTTTTTAAATCAGTGAAGAAAAAATGGACAAAACATAAAACATAAGTGGTTGATCGTGTAATTAACCCTAAAACTAAAATTTAATTATTCATTAATTTAGTTGAACACTACAGTTTTAAATTTTAAATAAACAAATAATATTTTAATAAATAAGATTATATAATTTTAAAAGTATATTGCATCATATAGTTTTTTTAAAAATAATACTATTTAGGAAGTAAACAATAATCCATATGATATAACTCTGGTTGCTTCAAGTGGTAAGCAAACTAATATTGCTTCAGTATATTTTGAGATCGAGTTATAACATACGTAGAAAATCTTAACTAAAATAATCACCAACCAAAATCAAATTTATAACATTGGCCGATGTAAATTAATCAAGATAAAAATTCGAAGAATTGAGAGGGAAAAAACAACAACACATCATATGTTAAAATAGTGGTTGGGTTGTAACGTTGATTTTTTTTGCCTTCTATTTTTGTTATTTGAAAGTTTGAACGATGTTTAGAGGAAAAAGTCAATGGTTTTTATAGGTCAACCAAATCACCGAACCCACTACTTTTGTACAATAGAATAACTAAATATAAACTAAATTATACATTTTACATAATTTTTTATTTAAATTTTATTATCTTATCATTTCATACTCTATTTATAAAACCATACATACTTGATTTCGAATAGGATAAAAAAGTTGATTTCTTAATTATAGAAATTAGACGGTACAACAATGGGCCGAGCCTGGCCCTGGATTTTAGCTTCCGTGACTTGGCCGAGATCTCATCGATTTATCGCTTGTTTTGGCACGAGGGACCCGATGATCGATCGGTAGAATATACGGGTGATTATAGGAATGATAATTTAATTTGAAATTATTAAATTTTGATTTTATTTATTTTAATAAATTTGATTCCTTTTAAAAGAAAATTTAGATCGAGCCGGGACATATTTTATATATGATGAGGTGAGTTGGATTTGGGTTGAAGTTGAAAAATCTCTAACTTGACCCAGCTTGATTGTAATTTTATCTTAAAAAGATAGGGATAACTACTATAATACTCTCTCTATAATTTTTTAATTAGATCCTTAATTTATATTGAGTGGGATAAGGTCTGACTAAGTTTATAATCTAAACATTCGGATAAAATAATATTCGAGTAGAGACAAATGATCTTTAGATTGAGTAAAGAGTATATGTTTCTCGGGTCATATTCGGGGATAATATATATTTTTGGGATGCAATGAATAAAGAATTTGAGAAAATCGAAAGTTAAATCAAATGCTATTGTTTTTTAGCGATTAATAAGGTATATATAAACCAAACCAAACCAGAACACAGAGCCGCTGCCACAATGACAAAGCAACAAAAGATGCACGCCTACATGTCACTTCTTATTCTAATATTCCAAACTGTGAATAATCACTTATTTTATACGATAAAAACAAAGCTTCCCATGGTCATGAAAGCTATTTAGGTTTCACTACATCGAGGTATGACCGGGAATAATATATAGTCTGTATCTGATAAATATCGTCGTCGCTAAGGTCCCTTTTGAGACTTCCATAATAAAGCGTAGGGTACATGACCGCACTCGGGTCTTCACTATGCTCAAGGCCGAGCGTGTGCCCTATTTCATGCATGGCTCCGGATTGCAGGTCCAGTTCGTCCCATGCAGGATTAGAATCAATGCTCCATTTTGTATGATCAACGTCAAGGTAAAGCCTCCCATCGGGTGGATAATAGCCAAAACCATAATACTCGGGGCTTAGTGGAGCGAACTCAATTTTGATATTAGCGTTTTCGCCTGGGTATACCCTTTGGAACTCAAACTCAGGGACAGCAGTTTGCCACTGTTGGAATGCTGCGTCGATGGCGTCGACCACCGCTTGAGGATCCAAACCTGCCGGCAGGGAAGAAGTGGATTGGAATCCGTAGGTCACCGGAAAGTCGTACCACCTCCCACTGGAAAGGGTGTTGTTAACTTCCAAATGAAACAATCCGTCGGTGGTTGGTCGGCCGATGTCGTTTTGGCTACCAGAACTTCTTCTAAGGTCGAGTGTCACGGGTCTGGACTCAACCGCAGAAGGTTGTAATACAAGGAGCATAAGAAATGCTCCGATGAGCTGATGGGAAAACTGAGGTGCCATTGCATATGAATTACTAGTCTATGTGTTTAGCGTGTGTTTTGATGTTTGCATTTGCTCCCATTTATAACCAAAAAAAAAATGGGGAAAATAGTTAATTACAATTTGATTTCTCCCATTTTTTTCATTCTAGCTTTGTCCTTATAAAAATTAAATTTAGAATTTTATTTGAGCAAGCAAGCAACCATCAATAAAATAATTATTATCTTGCGGAATTTAGCTTTATAATACGAATAAATAAGAAATACAATTTTATTCAAAACTTGACCTACAAATCAATTAAAAAATACAATTAAAACGTGGCTTATAATTTTCCCTAGTGTTGCTAATTAAAAAAGGAAAACTAATTGCCGCAGCCATAGGGACTCAACTGAAAACATATATAAAAAACTTGGGAAAATTTTGACAAAATTATTTAAAATGATTGAAAATATAAGCACCTAACTGCAATACAATCACTAAATTTTTAGTCCGTTTTTAGTAACGGCCCTTACATTACCTCCCGTTAGTTTAATCTGATGTGTCATGTTACCTCCTATTAACTATTCTTCTTCTTCTTTTTCTAGAAAAGAAATATATGCAATATGATGTTCCTCGCCCTTCTCTTCTTCTTCTTCATCTTCTTGAAAGGAAATATATGCAAATATGATGTTTCTCTCCAGCTGGTTTATGTACGATGGTCTATGTCCGTCAAGCAATTGTAGCTTATGTTTCTATTGCCTTATAGGTCAATTTTCAAATATCATGCATTCATTAGTATACTAATTCGACACATCAAACAATAACAATATTCTTTAATCAATTACGACTCAAACAAATGAATAAAGTAAAATTGTTTAATATTGTTTTCATTACAACTAAAATTGTTTTTTTTTATAAAAAAATATTAGACATATGTGAAAGTTGTTTACAGCTATTATTGAAAAAAAAATATAAATGTTGGGTAGGTTCAAGAATTTTATATATTTAAAATCATTGTTCTGGCCTCATTGATCTTGCAACTTGATGGCTCAATAATTGGTATAATAAGTAATGGGCATAAAATTTGAAAAAAAATGGGTGAAATTATAAAATTATACGAGTGAAAATATATTATTAATAAAAAAATAAAGAAAGTATCACTCCGTCAATCTCCTTGATCCATCGTGGATATTAAAAGTTAAATATATTTATATAAATATAAATATAATTTATACCAATAACTAGATAGTATAATGAGATAAAGTACTAGATCCTTTTAAGTAAGTTTAGGTGTTTGAACCCTGACGTTTGTAAATTGAGCAAATTGGGTTGGGAGGGTTGCTCTCACCTCTGCGGTACTCGATGTGAATTAGTCGCAATAGATTAGATATCAGTGATTAATTAAAAAAAGAGTTATGTTAACTATTTAGCAGAGAATAACTGTATTAACACTAAATTTATAAGGTTTTAAATTTTATGATCAAAATATAATATAAAAACGAAACCGCACATCAATCATCATACATATCAAAAGCAACAAGAGCTTTACGCCGGCATATCACTTGTTATAATTAAAACATTGGTGATCACTCATTTAATATGAAATAACTTAGGGTTTTTCCAAAGCCATGAAAGCCTATGAGTTGGCTAACTCATGGTGTGGAAGGAGAATATAAGGCTCGTAAGTTATTAATGTCCAGTTGGGTAAGCTCCCTTTTGATAGTTCCAAAAGAGAGTGTAGGATACATGACCGAAGCCGGATCGTTGGAGTGCTTAAGGCCGATAGTGTGGCCAATTTCATGCAAGGCTGTAGATTGCAGGTCAATTTCGCCCCTTGCAGGATTAGAAGCAGTGCTCCAATGGGTGTGGCTATTATCAAGCAAAAGCATGCCCTTAGGTGGATAATAACCAACACCAAATTTCGGGGACTTTATTGCAGTGAACCCGATTTTGATATCAGAATTGTCGCCTGGCTGTTCTCGTTTGAAGTTTAGTTTAGGGACGGCAGCTTTCCATTTTGCAAACGCGTCATCGAAGGCGCGAGCCACGTCTTGAGGTTCCACACCCGACGGCATTTCGATGCCGGAGTAGAAACCGTAGGTCACCGGAAAGCGATACCATCTCTTTCTGGAAAGGGTTTGGTTAGCAGCTTCCAAATCGGAATTTGGTCGACCGACGTCGTCTGGGCCACCCCTGCTTCCCCACCAGTCCGGCGGAGATTCGAGTTTCACGGTTCCGGATTTAACAACAAAAGGTTGCAGCACAAGGAGCAAAAGAAATACTCCTAATAGCGCGTGGGGAATTTTACCTGCCATCCGTGGAAACAAGGATTTAAATAGCGATCCGCGACGGTGTAACGTCTGATACAACGGTAATACTGTCCTCCGTGACCGTTACTATATGACTGTGATACCCGCAATCTCCACGATAACACCCGTTATATCTGCAATCGCGACAAATACGACGTGACCGAACACGCGATCGCAACCGCTATTTGAATCCCTGTTGGAAGTGCGTAAGATAAACTATTGTTGGGTACGTTTTCATATTTGCCTTGCCTCCTATTTATACCAAAAAAATAAAATAAAAATATATAAATTTACTTTTTTTAGAAATTTTTGAATATTTAAATTCAACAAAAAAAATAGATAAGTTGTTAATAGGAACGGATCGTAAGGAGCCAGAAGGGATTTAACCCCCAAAACTATATCCCTAAGAACCTATTTATAGTTCATGCTTATTACAATAAACAATTATTACGAAATATTAAATATGATATGATACATAAACAACATAATTATTCTACATCCACATAAATATCTTAAAATTTGTATAATCCAAATAATAAATTAAAATATATAACTATTAAAAAATATTATTTTACATTCCAAGTATTTTTTTGAAATCATACCTTCTCTGAATATTTATTTTGTTTATCGAATATTGATGTTTTCAGAGTTTTTTTTTTGGATTCTCTAGAGTTATATATCCTTCGAACAGTTGATATGACGTTTTATAAACTCACATTATTTATCATAATTAAATTTATTGTCAGAAGATCATATCTATTTAAACTTGTCATCTTACGAATATCAGTCATGATCTTATGTTTGACATCATCACTAAGGGTCTCTATAAATAAACCTTACGCCAGTTTAATATGACTCTTCTTCCTCTTCAAACTTTCTCGACCACTTTAATAAAATGATATCAATTATTTATAATTTTACTATAAATCACCCACTATAATTCTTTGCTTAAATTAGAAAAAATAAACCATCAATTGTTCACATAAATTATTCTTTCCTATTAATAAATAGTGTAACTACGTATTTAGTACTTAAACTATCATTTTTGGTCTGTTTTATTACCTAAACTTTTAATTTTTTTAAATCATACCTAACGTAAGCACATTGCCGAACCTCGTAAAATTCTCGTGTTCTTTCATTTTCTTTACCCGTTTACGCCAACACGTTTAGTTTTTGTTTCATTTTAATACCTCGTTAAAAACTTAACGTTGAAGTTCTGAAAAAATTGAAAGTTTTGGTACTACAATGGAACAAAATTGATAGTTTGGATACTAAACACGTTAAGTTTTAACAATTGGGTACTAAAATGAAATAAAAACTAAACGTTAAGTATGACTTTTAAAATCATTTTCTTATTTGTAAACCCATAAAATTTTGTTTCGAAAATAAAAAAAACAAAACATTCGTTGTAATCTATTACAAAGTTATAACTTAAATACATTACAGAACATTTTTCTTAATTTCATATACATGCCATCTAGTTATCAAAAGAGACATAAATGTCCAACAATTATTGATGAGTTAACCTTTGATTGATGATCTATGTTGCACTCCTTACTCTTCTAGTCTTTGTTCTTACCTACGTGCGAAATCAACACATGCTAAATATTTACTTAATGAGGCATAATAATGTAAATGAACTGCAATTCATACATAAGCATATCATGGCTATTGAAATACAAACTAAATGTAACTTCATAAAAATCAGTTAACCATCTTAGTTAAACCAAGTTTCTTTCATATAGTCATCAAAACTAATCTTAGTATGCATAACATACCTATTTTTCTGTATATTGTTTTCAATTATTCTTTATTTTGCCCAATGTATGTTAAATGAGAATGTAAAGTATATGCATTGCACCGAAGTGCCGAAATGATCATTCACCTTTTATGAATGCCATGAGTGACACCTTTTATGCCGATAATGCACGGTTATGCATTTTCATTAGTGGCACCTTTTATGCATTGGCACCTTTTATGCTGATAATGCACCGTCATGCATTTTCATTAGTGGCACCTTTTATGTCGATAATGCACTGTTATGCATTGTCATTAGTGGTACCTTTCATGCCGATAATGCACCGTTATGTATTTTCATTAGTGGCACATTTTATGTAGATAATGCACCATTATTCATTTTCATGAGTGGCACATTTTATGTCGATTCATAGATTTAAACATTTAGTTTGGCAACATCGATAACCATTACACAACATTAACATTCATTCATTCATTTTAGAGAAGTTCATACTCTAAAAACTTATTAATAATATCATTTCTATATACATTATGAAAATATACCAAAATGCTGTAAAACATATATTTAACAAAACATTCGAGGTTGACTCATCGCGAGTCTTCCTCTTTTCATACAAGTACAATAAATGCACTTACCTAATAAGCCTCACTAGTATGTTGTAATGATGTTCGACTATTAGGCAACTTTATCTTTGCCATTTTTCTTGCTTGACTCAAGAGCTTGGTTATGATATACACAAGCATCCATTAAGTACACATACCGTACCAATGTTAGTTTACTCTCTAACATTTATACTTTTAATAAAACTCAAAAGTACTATTACATTCAATTTCTATCAAAATTCCTCATATCTAAAATTTCCAAGCTCAATAGTATCAATACCCCTACCATGGTATCGATACTTCTATACTATGGTACCGATACTCCCTTTCAGTATCGATACCATTTCTGCATTCTGGAATCCATGGTATCGATACCTTCCTCTTAGTATCGATACCCATAGCAGTATCTATACTAATTGCATCAGTATTGATATTGTTCATCGTAATTCTTTAAATTTAAACATATAGTATTGGTACTGTTCTTCTAGTACCGATACCCTTACCCATATTTTCCATTTTCAGCTTGATTTTTACCCAATTTTCATTTAAATCTCCTACTTTTACCTCAAACAATACCCAAATAACTTTCCTCCATTTAGCTTCTTATAACATCCAATACTTCTAGTCTCTTATTTACTTATTTGACAAGTCAAATATACTAGCAAACCTCAATAAAAACTCATATTTACTTATTTGACAAGTCAAATATACTAGCAAACCTAAAAAAAACTCATATTTCAGCATATCTTTCAAAAATTCATTTTCTTCAATCTCAAATAAAATCATCCATCTCTTAGTTTTAATCCTCTTTAATTATTCCTTAAGCCTCTAAAACACTCAAGGTTTCAATATCAACCATTAAACTAAAGGAAAAACCAATTTGGAGGAAACTCACCTTTGGCTATGGAGAGAACAGGCACACGGGAAGAATGAGAGGAGAACATAACTTAGCTTCCTTTTTTTCAACTTTCCCCTTTTTCTTACTCTTAAATACTTAATAAAAATGAATTTTAAATTCATTTCCCTCTAAATGACTAAAATACCATTTCATTCTTCCATTCTTACTAATTGATCTTAAACACAATTTCTAAATTATTTTCTTAACTTTACCATTTACTCATTTTAATCCTCCAAAATTTTAAATCCTTTCAATATAGTCACTGACCTGATATTTGAGATATTACATGAGACCTTAAAAAATAATAACAATTCCTTTGCCACTGAAATCACTCGATACGGGCAAGAATATAGAAAGTTAAATTATCGAATTTTATAGATAAATAAAATTATCGAATTTCAATCTTAGCCGAAGTACAAGTATATAAATAAATAAATAAATAAAATTATCGAATTTCATAGATATTATATTTTACATCTTTTATGCTTGCGTGACATGTTTCTTCCTTGTTTTGAATGTTTATTAACTAATTTATTTTGGTTACGTACTTATGTTTTTCCGTTAATAAGTTAATAAGTAATGGACGCAAAATTTAAGAGGTGAACTTATAAAATTTTAAGAGTAAAATATATTATCAATAAAAAATACAAATAAAATATTAAAACTATATGAGAATTTGAACTTTCAGAAAGATCAACCACTCTTTCAATCTCTTCGATCCATCCTGAATATTAAAGTCTAAATATATTATTATATACATATATAAATCACACATCAATCGTTATATGTATCAAAAGCAACAAGAGTTTTTGACGAGGCACTCTCCCTTGAATATGGGGTTTGTTTTATTGGGTGATTTTGTTGTTCCGTGTTGACTCTTTTTATATTGTCAGAGAGAATGTACTCTTTTCCTCATTTTAGGATTAGGGAGGTTTTTATCGAGACATTATCCCTTGACTATGGCTTGATGGTTATTTTAATAAAAATAATAATTGCCTGAGGAAAAAACAACAACAAGAGCTTTACGCTTGCATATCACTTGTTTTATCTAAAACTGTGGTAATCACTTCTTGAAATAACTTAAGGTTTTTCCAAAGCCATGAAAGCCTATATAGAGTTGGCTAACTCATGGTGTGGCTTGGAACGATATAAAGCTCGTATGTTATTAATGTCCAGTTGGGTAAGCTCCCTTTTGATAGTACTAGAAGAGAGTGTAGGGTACATGACCGAAGCCGGATCGTTGGTGTGCTCAAGGCCGAGTGTGTGGCCAATTTCATGCATGGATTCAGATTGCAGGTCGAGTTTGTAGGGTACAGGGTTAGAGCTAGTGCTCCAAAGCGTGCGGCTAATATCAAGCAAAAGCCTGCCATCAGGTGGATAATAACCGAAACCATAATATGGGGGGCTTAGTGAAGTGAACCTAATTCTAATATCAGCATCGTCGCCTGGGTATAACCATTGGAAGTTCAGTTTAGGGACGGCGTTTTCCCACTCTGTGAATGCGTCGATGATGGCAAAAGCCACATCCTGACGTTCCATGCCCTGACAACATTTCGGTGTCGAGTAGAAACCGTAGGTCATCGGGAAGTGATACCATCTCCCACCGGAAAGAGTGGTTAGCAGCTTCCAAATCGAAAGTTGGTCGACCGATATTGTCTGGGCTACCGCTGCTTACCCTCCGGTCCGGTGGAGATTCGAGTTTCACGGTTCTAGATTTAACTACAAAAGGTTGCAGCACAAGGAGCAAAAGAAATACTCTATATAGTGCATGGGGAATTTTACCTGTCATTGGTGGAAGTACGTAAAATGAACTATTGGTGTGTGCGTTTTCATGTTTGCCTTGTCTCCTATATATACCAAAAACAAAACAAAATAATATCTAAATTTAATTTCTTTTACAAATTTTTAAATATTTAAATTCACAAAAAAGGTAGATAAGATGTTATAATATACAATAAGGACAGATCACAATTAGCCAGAGGGGATTTGGCCCCCAAATCTATATCCCTAAGAGGAGATAGTGTCACACTTGCTCACACATTTTATTTTACCATATTAGTGAAAATTGATATAAAATGTACAGAAACTTAAGTATTTATAGTTCATGGTTATTACCATAAACAATTATTAAGAAATATTAAATAGGGTAAACTATGTGGATAGTCCCCTATGTTTAACCCGACTTTGGTAACTAATTTAAAAATTAAAGGGAAATGGTCCCTAACATTATCAATTCGTTCGATTTTAATCCCTCAACCATTAATTTTTGTTAACTCCCTTTTGTTTAAGTCGCTAACATGATCGAGGGACTAAAACAAAACGAGAGTTAACAGTTGATGGACTAAAATCGAATGGATTGAAAATGTTAGGGATTAAAATCGAATGGATTGATAACATTAGAGACCATTCCCCCTTAATTTTTAAATTGGTGACCAAAGTCGATCAACCGAAAACATAGGGGACTATCTGCATAGTTTACCCTATTAAATATGATATGATACATAAACAAAACAATTATTCTACTACCAAATAAATATGTTAAAATTTATATAATTCAAATAATGAACTAATATATATACCTATTAAAAATATTGTTCGACATTCTAAAAACTATACTTAAATATATAGCAAGTATATATTTACAAATTAGTCAATGCATAATGTTATTTGTGGGAAATTAGGGAGAGATTACAGGAAGTTGAACCGTGGGGAGATTACAAGGCCAAAGAAATAGAGGAAAACATACACATAAATATAATTGTAAGTCTTCAGAAAGCTGCCTCTGGCTTCAAGAAGTTGTGATATTCCAGCTGAGTCATTTCACCACCATTAACCGGATCAAATTGGCATCGGTAAAAGCTGTGCATTATATTCAATCAATTAGCTCTTTTCGACACTTAATATCACAGCAAAGATGATAAGTAACAATGTCAATCTAATGTCATGTACGTATTAAGTGCATCTAACAATTCCTATATCCGTATCATGTCGGTTTTTATCTTGTTGTGTTTGTATTATCTTGTGATTGTGTTGTTTTTACAATTGCTGCATAGAGGAGGAGAGGTAAAGAACATATTTTGACCACCTCAGGGGGAACCATCTTGATGACAACTTGCCTACATGCTTCAAGGAAATTTCCCAAGAATATACTTGTGCAATATTTACAAATTATGTTCTAACAGGTAAGGAAGTAGTGGAGTCTCACAATTTCCTCTCACAATTTCCTATGAAGTTGTGGACAACAACACTCCTATGTCTAGGGGCATAGAGTTAATTATCAAGAATGCTGCTAGGTCACCTAATACTTCCCAAAGTTGGTCCTAAACGTGAGTTTACCAATTCGTCAGCATGTTCAAATTCATCTTAAAAGAGAAACAACAAAAAATCGTATACCGAATTACTGATAGTTGTTCTAACCAATTTTCTTTTATTCCACTAGCGTTATTTGTATTTTCCTTACCTTCCATCAATGCCAAGAATTACCACTGTATTCTTTTGGTGACCGAAGGCAACAATGTAGTGAGAACCTTCAACCAAGCGGAACTGAGCCACTGACCATTCTGAGCTGAAGTACTTTGGTAACACCCCTGCATGTGGAAAGATATTTAAATGATGACCATGGTAAACTAAACTCCCCAAAATAAAAATCTCAAACAACTAATCTTTAGACAAGATAAACGCAATCTAGTTTAATTCGCATCCTATTGAAGAACTAGTTTCTCTGATGCCTGAAGTAGGAGATTAACTCTCCCATATGCAGAAAATCATTTTAAATGTTCATCATAGTTGCTGAAAAATTTTGAAGACAACTTCAAATATGTATTTTCTAGAGCGAAAACAGAAAAAAAATTGTTTAATGCTGTTAGACTGTTATTTCGCGGACTAGGTGTAGTTGTCATCAAACTGAATTAGTATTGTTTCATATAGCTTGAGTGGCAAGTATCTCGGATATCAAAAAATGAAAAACATAAAAGGGGAATTGACATGAATTTTCTCGTCCCATGATAGCTTCTATTACTATAATTCAGTAGAGGGAAGCGTGAGCATTTGCATAATCTAATCCTAGGAATAGAAAGTGGAATAGATCAATAATGTCACTTTTCACAGTTATCCATTGTCTTTAGACACGGCGAAATTATCTAGATCAACAAAAGGAGAACTTCACCTTTGATAAAAGAAAGAGACGAATGGGGTGATGCAACAGGATCTGTTGCACTTCGTGACTGGGTAGAACTAGGAGATCTGGCATTAAGTTTAAGGCCGAAAACATGGACAGTGCCTTTGTCACTTGAAACTGCTAACCACTGGGCATTTGAAGAGAATGCCAAACTATATATTTCAGCTCTATCTGCACCCCTCCTTACCTACATTGATATACAAGAGAACTTTCAGAATATCAGAATCAGAGCATGTTAGATAATATCATGTTTAATTATAAGTGCTAAACAAGATCAAAGGACCATAAAAAACACCACAGTGAACATCAACTGCACATAGAAAATTCAAAAGAAAGCCAACATTCATACAGTGCAGATGATAGTGCAATAGGAAAGGCCATGAGAAAGTTGGGTTTTTTGAGTTGCATAGGAAACGAAAAGATCACAACGATGAACTCAAAATAGAATAGTGTTTATTGCAATTAATCGCATACCTCTTGCAGCAAGCTCCCGTCAGCAGTATTGTAAATGCGAACCAGCGTCCCTTTCGTGCTCGCGGTAGCAAGCAACTGGCCATCCTGGGAGAGAGCAAAGCACGCAATTCTTGAATCATGAGCCATAATGAACTTAGTCCTCTTCGAAGCGTAATGCTCCACCCTAACTTGCCCCTTTTGCAATCCGGGGCAGACCAAAACCAATGATCCCGCCCCTTGAGACACCGCGCAGAGTCCCTTCGGATTCACGATGGTCTCAATCTGGTGCAGAAGCTTCAAATCAACAAAATTGTAAACGAAAATCTTCTGTTCCAAAACGACAATGATTCGATCCCTCCGAAGCCGAACAGATCTTACTTCGGACCGAAACGAAAGCTCGCTGATGCATCGGCTCTGGTGATCGTCCCAGATCATAACCTTATTCAGCGGGTACTGCGGATCGGGTCCGCCGCCAACGAGAGCCAAAATATTGCACCGGAAAAGCATCTCGACAACCCCGATGCCGCCGCCGCGATCAAAATCACGGCGAAATATCTCGCGTAATGGATCGCAATTGTAGATCCTGAAGCCATGGTCAATTCCGGCGGCGAAGCAGCCATGATCCTGGTTGAAGGAGAGGTGGAGAAGAGACGGCGGAGGCACGGATGGAGCAACCGACTGGGGCGGTTTCGAAAGTGCGGAGTGAAAATTGGGGTCCGGTTCGGAACAAGATTCCCGATCGAGGTTAGATTGGTCGGAAGAAGAGAGGAAATTGGTGTTAGGGTTCGAGTTAGGGTAGGCTGAGAGGGTCGCCATCGGAGGTATCTAAGATGAAATTACGGAGAATTTTAGGGACCGGTGACGACGAAGGTAAAAAACTAAACAATCAGACCGAAATTACGATGTTGTCCTTTTAGAAGAAGAATATGAAGGACTGTTGTGTCCTTTTTTGAGATTAATGGTGAAATAAGGAAGAAAACAGTTGGAAATAAGTTTCTCTAGAGTTTTATTAGATGACACGTGTCTGAAAAAAAGGCTTAATACACTTTTAGGTGCCTAAACTATATCTTAAATTGATATTTGGTACCTACAGAATTTTTTATTAAGTGTCTAATGTATTCCTGTTATATTTTTAGGTGTCTACCGTTATTTTTTTAATTTTTTAATAATAAAAATATTATTTTTTAAAAAAAATAAAAAAAAATCAAACATTCACGTCGTCTCTCTCACTTTCATCTTCCTACTTGAGACGATAATGAAGGATGATCACTAATAGGATTTGTTCAGAGTCGGGCGAGAAACTCAATGGTCGTAGTGGTCGTGTAACGTATAATCAGTTATAGCAGTCGGAATAATCGAAAAATAGTGCAGGAAAACTTAGAAAACCAATGACCTGAGTTTTGATCGCAGAGACGAGACGATTCTGATGGTGTCAACGATGACGATCAGGGGGTCGATGGTGGAATTTTGGAGATTTTTTAAATTTCTTTCTAAATTATAATATTAAATATTTCTTAAAATATTTTTCTGAAATTTTATATATGTGTTACATGTGAGATAACGGTAAATTTTAACGGTCGTTACATCCCAAACATTTAAAAGTGTAACATTCAAAACATTAGAAACTTACACTTAATAAGATATTTCTTAAATGCTAAAAATTAATTTAAGATATAATTTGTACCCTTAAAATTGTATTAAAAAAAACCGAGAGTTCGCTTCGTGCCGACGCCAACTTCGTTAAAACTAAGAATATTGTCTTATTTTCTCATCAACTTCGTTAAAACTAAGATATAATTTAAGATATTCTTTAAAAAAATGATTGAGATCGAAGCCCAAAGGCCCCGAATTAGCTAAACATTACTCTGGGGCCAATGGCACATCAACAGTCTCTGCTACATTTAGGTGTATATAGTTACGAAGAAAGTAGTCGAGGTGTAATGACAAAAGATCTTGATGGCAATGCAATCGAAACAAAGTTGGTTGAACATGGCGACGAAAGAGACACGGTAAGATTAAGCCCAAGTATTGGCTTGTTGCGACACAGCATCGCTGGTTGCCGGTTCTCCGACAAAAACTACAACTCGATAATCATCACTCATCTTTGATTATATTTCTTTGTTGTCATTAAACTTTATAAGACTTCAATTTGATCGTTTAACTTTTGACATTGTTCTCTTTAAGAATCAATTGAACATAAAATATATCTATATTTATAATTATATATATAGTTAAAAATAGATCATAAAAGAATTAAAACACTGTCAAAATATATTTATAATTATATAAACACAATTCTAAATAATAAAATTATAGATAATAGATTCAAGAAATTTTTACATCAATCATGTATTTTCTATTTCTTTCTTAATTTATTTTTTTATTAAACGAAAACTCAACCCATAATGTGATTCAAAGTGGTCACATATTTCATAAGTTTGATTTAAAACAATTTATGTTGGTGACGGATGCAAGTACGATTTAAGGTGAATAAAAATCAATCTTAAAATTTAAATTTTTTAATTAATTATCCTTTTTAATGAAGGTATTCGTCTAAAAATTTTACTTTTATTCGTATAAATCGTTTATTGAAAAAACGCCACTATAAACAACTCTATTGCATCGTTTGAGCTATAAACGCCGCTAAATTACCATTCTAATGTGATATTTGTTTAAAAAACGCCGCTAAAGTATCATTTTGTGGCGTTTGTATTGTAAATGTTGGGAAAATAGACCCTTGTAATCCAACAATCCCTTTAGATCACAACATTAACAAAAATACTTGAAAAATAAAAGAGAAAAAACACAATAATTTAACGTGGAAAACTCCCAAATGGAGAAAAACCACAAGCGTTGTCAAAAGACAACCAAGAGAAAAAATATTTACTATGTGGAAAATTATTACAACCACACTACAAAATATTTAACTCTCACACATGCCCAAAAGCTAAAGTACACCCCAAGAGAATTTCCCTTTAAATTCTCTACTAATATAGCTAATAGCTTTCTAGTACACCACTTGTATTTTGGTGATGGACATACATTTAACCAAAGGGAAATGTTCTATTTATAGGCTAAGAATTTTTTCATCATTTATTCATTTCCAGTGTGGGATTTGGCCAATTTTTGCCAAAAAACTAACAGTAAACGCCGCTACATGCTTAAATTTTATGGCGTTTTCCCTTAAAACGCCGCTAGAAACGCCGCTAGAAACGCCGCTATATAACACTTTTGCTGGTTGTTATTTTCGGCCAATGAAACAGCGGCAAAAGGGTTGATCGATGTTTTCCTTTTGATTAGGGGGCACATTTGCACTATACTCGTCTCCAGCTTGAATTGCCGGTTCTCCAAATTCTTTCTGTTGATCATCACCATGCTAGGCACTTCCATGGTCATCGGCGATGGCGTCCTCACCCCTTGCATTTCGGGTTCACCTTCTTCTTCTTTTCTATATATATCTTCACCATCCATTCACATTTCTTTATTGTATTCATTCACTTCCATGGTCACTGCAGTGTTGTCTGCTGTGGGTGGCATCAAGAACGCTACATATGCAATGACAGACGGTCAATATATATACACTGCAACTCAGTAATTCACCTCTTGCTTATTTGATCTTTTCATTTTCTGGAAAACTGTTGATATTTGGTGCAAAACAGATAGGATTGTTTGGATATCGACGGTAATCTTGGTGTGCCTCTTCATGGTTCAAAGATTTGGAACAGACAAAGTGGGCTACACCTTTGCTCCCATCATCTGCGTCTGGTTCACACTCATCGCCGGGATCGGGATTTACAATTTCTTCAGATTCGATCCGTCAGTCATCAGAGCCATGAACCCTAAATACATCGTATATTACTTCCGGAGAAACAAAAAGCATGCATGGGTTTCCCTTTGTGGTGTCGTCCTTGTCATAACAGGGACGGAGGCATTGTTTGCCGATGTCGGCCATTTCACTGTTCGCTCCATACAAATAAGCATGTGCTCGGTGACTTACCCGGCTTTGATCATGGCCTATACGGGGAAAGCCTCTTTCCTTCGTAAACACGAAGATTTAGTCTCGGATACTTTCTTTAAATCCATTCCAGGTGATAACCATTTATTTTTGTTGTGATTTTGATCAGTTCCATTTGTAAGGCAGCTAAGTGTGGCGATTTGCAGGCCCTCTCTATTGGCCGATATTCGTGACGGTTGTGGCGGCTGCGATCATTGCGAGTCAAGTAATGATTTCTGGGCTTTCTCTATAATCCAGCAATCACTGTCGTTGGGGTGTTTCCCTCGCGTCAAAATTGTACATACATCGGCCAAATACGAAGGTCAAGTATATATCCCTGAGGTGAATTACCTGCTGATGCTAGCCTGTGTTGGGGTTACTCTTGGATTCAAAACCACAGAAAAAATGGGCAATGCTTATGGTAATGTTACTCAAACCCGAGACCTCAAACACCGAGCTCTTTACTACTCGATTTGATAATCGTTGGTCCATTCCTTTCATTTCTTGTTGCTCAATCTTCTACTCATATGCAGGGATTGCAGTGGTGTTTGTAATGGCTCTAACATCATCTCTACTGGTTCTCATCATGATCATGATATGGAAAACCAATATACTCTTCGTAATCGCCTACGTTCTTATCATCTGCTCGGTTGAGTTAACCTATTTGAGCTCCGTCCTCTACAAGTTCGATCAAGGCTGTTACTTGCCGTTGGCTTTCGGAGCTCGACAATAAAATCTCTCGAAAGGTTAAAGGAGATTACGTCCGACACTAGCTTGTGTAGAATCTACTTGCCCTGTTTAACTCGGAGCTTGTTCAAGGCATTCCACCTATATTCGAACACTATGTAGAAAACATACAAGCATTGCATTGGGTCCTTGTTTTCGTCTCCATCAAATCGCTACCGATCAGCAAAGTCCCGGCCGAGGACCGGTTTCTTTTCCGCAGAGTGGAACCGAACGAGCTGAGCGTTTTCCGTTGCGTCGTCCGATACGGGTACACCGATATCCGCAACGAAGAGGACTCGTTGGAGCTGATTTCAGTCGAAAAGTTGAAAGAGTTCATCAAGGAAAACATATTGTTGGCACATGTCCTCGATGGAAAGAAGGCAAACGGAGGCGGGGAAGTCGACGACGAGTGGCGAGAGATAAGGGTGGTGGACAGAGCATCTGAAGCTGGCGTCGTACACCTGATCGGCGAAAGCGAGGTGGTTGCAAGCAAAGGGAGTCGAGTTGCTAAAAGGTTATGGATAGATCATGCTTACAATTTCATGAAGAAAAACTAGAGACAAAGCGAAAAGGTGTTTGATATCCCTCACAGGCGTATGCTAAGGTTGGCATGACTTACGAGTTGTAGAATTAACTATCCGGTTTACATTTGATGTCGGAAAGTATAATTTTATGTACCTTTACATAAAATTATATATTATCAATATATCAAATATAAATCTTTAATTATCGTATACTATACGAATAAATTAGATATACAACACTATACTACTTTGTAAACTGCTAATGCAGCATTACAGTATCACAAATGTTCGCATGAACCAAATTATCTCAATAGCTAAAGAAATGATTATTGTTCTTAGAGATTCTGATTCAAGTACTAGCGATAGTAGCAGGAGTGATTGAATGTTCATTAACAAATAGTTAAGAGTTCTAAAATACTATTTTATAATCATCTTAGATTAATAAGAAAAATCGGAATTGATACATTATAAATAAAGTGATAAAATATTTATATTTAAATCTTTAACAAACATAACTTTGATCGAGGGATGTAAACGAGCCGAGTCGAGCTCGAGTATTGCTGAGCTCGACTCGACTCGGAAATTATGAAATGGAGCTCGACTCGACTCGAAAACTCGTGAGCTTAAAATTTTCAAGCTCGATTCGAACTCGAAATCCTGAAGTGAAGCTCATGAGCAGCTCGAAAAGGCTCGAAATGAAAAAAAATTCTTAAACTTAACTCGATTGAAGCCTCAAACTCAAACTCAAACTCGAACATGAACATTAAATACATGAAATCTTCCTGTATTTTTTTTAAAAAAATACATTACATAAAAATTAATATTATTATTAATTTTTTTTAAATAAAATCTTAATATATTATATTTTCGAGTTGCTTACGATGAGTCGAATATCGAGTAGCTCGTTTCAGCTCATTAAGAACTCGAGCCGAGTCCATTCGATCCGAGTATTTATCGAGCCTTGATCGAGTCGATCTCGAATAGCTCGCGATTTGTCTCGTCTCATTTACAGCCCTACTTTGATCACTAGGTCTAGAAGTATGATTTTTAATCGTATTATTTAAAGATAATGCAAAAATATAAAATATAAAATTGATGTAATATAATATTTAATTAACATTTTAAAAATTTAGTACCTAAACTATCAGTTTTGACATATTTTAATATATAAACTTTCAATTTTTTAAAAATCATATCTAACATTTAGTTTTTATTTTATTTTAGCACATCGTCACTAAAAACTTAACAACACTGTATTTTTATGGGCAAATTACATCAATAATCACTCAAATATCTTCTACTCCTATTTTGGTACTAAAATTTAAAAAAATTTAATTTAACTACTCAACTTTCAAATTGCTCTTATTTTAGTCACTCAAATTTATTTTATTAATAATTTTTGTGACATGATATTTTTTATTATTAGTTTATTAATGTATAACTAAAAGTATAAAAAAATTGAAAGTTAGAGTGATTAAATCAAGAGTAATTTAAAAGTTAAGTAATTTAATTAAAAAAATTAAATTTTAGTGACCAAAATAGGAGTGATAAACTAGTTTAGTGACGAATTATGTAATTTGCCCATAAAAAAGGTACCACATACTAATCACTTATTAAGTTCTTTAACGGTGAGAAACTGAAATAAAACAAAAACTAAACGTTAGATATAATTTAAAAAAAATAAAAATTTAAGTATTAAAATAGACTAAAATTAATAATTTATGTATCAAACGTGTAATTTACCCTATATAATATAGAAAAAGTGACGAAAGTATCTAAACAACATGATAAATTTGAGAGAACAGTGATTGGTTGGTGGCTGACTTTTCATGATTCTCGAAACGGTCTCCCAAGTTGGGACCCTCGCAGCCTCCAGACAGCTCTTTCTTTCATCAGATTGAGATATTTTATATTAATTTACCTCAAAAGTATTTTAATTTATCCAATTTCCAAGTTATATATGTATATACTTTTTAAATTTTAAAATTAAAATTTAGAAATTAATTTTTTTGGATATGAAATAATCAAATATTTCTAATGATAAACAAAAAATTAGGAAGCTTTGGAATAAATTAGGTACAAAATCATGGTTTAAGGGCCTATTTGATGTTTTAGTGACTAATCTGTCATATTTGTTAACTTTAATGGTGAAAATTAAAACTTATTCAAATATTAGTGATCACTTTTATAGTTTACCCTTTTTAATTTTATAAATTTAACATATCAATAATTAAACCTTCAACTACCCATAAAATAGTTAATTAATTGTATCACCTAATAAAAAAAATCTAAAAGAGAAAAATGAAGATCTCAAATCTCAATGCATACATATGTTTCTTTAGATGGAATCTTAGCCATTAATTTCTTTATATATATTATACACGAATTTTATATATGAACTATAAAATACGTATAATAATTAAAATAATATTTAAAAATAATGTATTAAAAATATAATAGTTTGTAATGAATTACTATTTTTATTTTTATTTGAAAAAAATGTGAACGATTTTAATATTAGTGCTAGTTAGATTTTAATTAATTAATTTAATTTAATTAATATATAAAAAGTTCAATTAATTTAAAGTAAAGCATTGAAAATTATATTCTTATTACTAACCAACCGACTATTCAATTGACTAGTTCATATGATCATAAAATAGGATAAAGTATACAAATGATCCCATGATTATCGGTTACTTATTTATTAAGTCTCTCGACTATTAAAGTTACAAAATAGTCCTCCAATTAAATAATATTGTTTTGTTGAGTTCCTCGACTATAAAAAGTTACAAAATGATCACCCAACTATTCATTATATTCGAAACTCGTCATTTTCCGTTAAAATATGACGATATTCTAAGTTGAACGTTAACATGTTGATTGCGATATGATGAAATCTGATTATAGAATCTCAAACGACTGTTATATCTCAATCATTATGTTAATATCCAACTCTGACAACCGTAAGCTTCTTAATAGAATAGGATGAGTTTGAAACATAATGAATAGTTGAGTTATCATTTTATAACTTTTAATAATCAATAGACTCAACAAAATAATACTCTATAGTCGGATGACTATTTTATAACTTTTAATAGTAGAGAGATTTAATAAAATAGTACCCTATAATCGGGAGGTCATTTGTGTCCTTTACCCTATAAAATAATATCTATGTTTGATTTTAAATTTGAATAAATTTATATACTTGCAAGAAATATTTTAAGTTTTTAACATTTCATCTTCATCATATATTTTTTAAAACTTTTTTAATAATTCGAGGTGATTATAAGTAGTATATATATTCATACATTTTTAATCATTTACAATGTATACATACCTTACAGACAAAGTTTTTAGACCCTAAAACCTTATAATAAACAGGGTAAATTACGCATTTGGTATATAAACTATTAATTTTGGCCCGTTTTAGTATCTACACTTTTAATTTTTTCAAAATTATACTTAACATTTAGTTTTTGTTTCATTTTAGTACTCTCGTCGTTAAAAACTTAATGCATTTAGTAACTAAACTATCATTTTTGGTTCATTCTAGTACCTAAAGTTTTCAATATTTTTCAATACTTAACGTTTAGTTTTTAGCGGGGTTATTAAAATGAAACCAAAATTAAACTTTACGTATGATTTTTAAAAAAATTAAAAGATTAGATACTAAACACATAATTTACCCTAATGACACTCTCTTATATCACCAAGATTGCTTCGACGGATTCTCTATGCATCACATTAAATAAATATTATATTCATAAAATATAATTGACTATGAAGATGACTCAGCGATAAAATGGTTGACACGTAAGACTCAAAATATCGTGCTAAAGAGTGTAAAGGTTTGAATCCTCTTCAAGGTATAATATAATTGGAATGCTAATTAAACTGAAATAAATTTGTCACCAGATCACGAGATTTTGGTGGTCTTCTCTAATAAAACGTGGATTCCACTTTGAAAACGTTCGTCTGCACACATCTCGACTATAAAATCAAAAATACATTTTAAATTTAATTTAATTATAAAGTAAAAATAATAATTTTTTATATAACAATTGTTACTTAATTTATTAATTCAAATAAAATATTAAATATCATAATTTAAATCTTATTTAAAAAATTTAATATCTCGTATCAATAAATTAATTGATAATTAATAAATATGTGCAAATTTTCTATTTTCTCTCCACGGCCCTTTTCGTCTATTGAATTATTGAAAACAAACAAAACTTTTGTAATTGTTTTTTTTTTAATTTAGGTGCTGTGAATGTTGATTTTACAGTGAGAAAATATTTATTATATTCAAATTTAAGACATAATTCAAATAATATTAATTTTAAAATTTAAATAAAAATATTCCTAACTTGAAAATATAATATACTTCACCATTATATACAGGAATTATTAATTTTATTTCCTTTTTATCCATTAATCGAGGCTTGTTTTTAATTTTCCCTTTTCCTGAAATAAAAAAACATTTGAATTTGTATATGTTTATGCTCGGAAACAGAACTCAAAAAACAAGACACTGCCCCGAATTTCCTAAAATAGGATTGTCCAAAGGCAACGCGAGGCAATTAGACATGTCCCTTTTGGTCATTTACTCCACGTATCAAAACCTACCTACGACCGCGTGTGGTCTCAACTCTCATAAATTGAACCGAACACAAGCGTTAATCTTCGTTTTTTTTTCCCTTTTAAATTAGCAGCAAAAATACAGAGAGAATTTTCCTTTTTGCTCTCTTATTTTTATCTTTCTCTCTGCTAAGTCCTCAAGAATTCAACTCGTTTTCGTATCCATGGAAGCTAACCACTCTTTCACAAGGTAACCAAGAACTTTATTTTGTCGGGTTTGTTCTTTTATTTTATTTATTTATTTATTGTAGTTTTATTTACGGTAAAAGAAAAGTAAAGAAAAAAGATGCGTAAATCGAGGTTTATATGTGTATAACAACGAAAACCCATTTTTTTCAGGTTGGTTCTGATACGTGGAATTTAACTTGGATTTCCTTATATGAAGGTTAGCTATATTTTTTTTTTAAAAAAATCCTTCTTTTTTGCATGTTTATTATACATTTATTACCAACTGTTTGTCAGTTAACATGTCTTATTTTGCTGTTTTCTCTGATTGTTTGCTTTGTTCTGTGTTTAATCAAAGGGAATTGCATGTTTGTTTTTCACTGAAACAATGGACATGTTACTCTCGTGTTTCGATGAGATTGTTCGACATTGACGAACCGACAGCTATGTGTCGATCGGGTAGCTTAGATTTAGATTTAAGCTTCTTGTTTGTTTGTTTGTTTGTTTTTAATCTGCTGAATCAGTATATGAGTACGTGCCTTGGCAGTTCTTTTGGTTCTCTCTATTGATAGTTTAGATTACTAGAAATATGAATGGTATCTGTTTCGATTGAAATGATGAGGCTTCATGCTTTTGGATCGAGGGCTTCCGATTTTTCGGCTTCGAGAACTATGTTGGAAGTTTCATCGCTGATTTCGGTTTAATTTTATGTATCTTTTGAATGTATGTTCATGGGATGATTATGATGTATTTTTTTTGATGAACTTAGTCTGCGAAAGTGTGTTTTTCTTTTTGATGAATGCTGGTAATTTTGATTTTTTCACGCATCGAACGATTCCTCTGTTTTTTTCGATCTCGAACAAAAATTGTTGCTTTAGAGAGATGTAGGTCATTTAGCTTCAAAGGAGTTTACTTTAGCAGTTACATGTTGGTAATGGCATAATAAAGTATTAAAGTTTAATTATTTTTGGCTCAAATCTTGAGCAGATGGACATCACTCTTTTGGATAATGACGTGGAGGGCATTGAATATGAACCATCTGGGAAATCACTTGCTTCGTGTTCCCTTTTGGATGAAATTTCCGGAGATCCACAGCTGATTCCTCGTGTTGGAGATCAATACCAAGCAGAAATTCCACCTCTAGTTGGCGAATGTCGGAGTTTACAGGTTGTAATGCAGCCAGTGGATGCGAATGTCATATCGAATGTCCTGAACCCTTTTACGGCAGGGTTGCCTATCCCTCTTTTCTGGACAAAGACTGAAGTTGAAAGCATAAATGGTGCTTCTGAATTTGAAAACATTGATGAGAGTCGCATTACTTCGAGCCATGGCTGTGGAGAGTATAAAGTTGAAAATCTATATCCTACATTAGGTGATAGGAAAGGCATGGAAGAGAATTCTGAGCTTCAACCTATAACTGGGGGTAAGATGGATTCCGAATTACTCCTCCCACTGGAGCCAAAATCTAAGCTGAATCAGGTGGAAAGAGGTGCTTGTCCTCGCCCAGGCTCTTCGAGTGAAGTATGGAAGGATATCGAACTTGACAGTTTTCTTCTCGGGCTATACATCTTTGGAAAAAACCTTATCCTTGTGAAAAATTTTGTTGAGAGTAAAGCCATGGGAGAGATATTGTCTTTCTATTATGGAAAATTTTACAAGTCCGATGGATATAGTAGATGGTCAGAATGCCGAAAGTTACGAAGCAGACGGTGTGTTCATGGACAAAAGCTGTTCGCTGGGTGGAGGCAACATGAATTATTATCTCGATTATTTTCTCATAATTCAAAAGAATGTCAAGATATGTTGCTTGAGGTATTTTCCCTACTTTTCTGTACTCAATACCTACTCGTATGATCTTATATTCTCGATTTACTGCTGAACTTTTGAACATGATTTTGCAGCTATATTTAGTCTATTTTCCCAGAGAAAATATTTCACCATGATGTTTTATGAATTCTGATTGTTATAGGTTTCTAATAAATTTGGAGAAGGAAAAGTTACCTTCGAGGAATATGTATTCGCTATAAGGAACACAGTAGGTATTGGTATGCTCGTAAACGCCGTAAGTATTGGCAAAGGAAAGCTAGACCTCACTGGCAATGCTATGGAGCTAGTAAAAGTGAATAATGTAGTTTCTTTTCGTCCCGAAATTCCGGTTGGCAAAGCTTGTTCTAGTCTTACGTCAGCAGAGATTATCAAGTTCCTGACTGGAGATTTTAGGTTGAGCAAAGCTAGATCTAACGATCTTTTCTGGGAAGCTGTTTGGCCTCGACTTTTAGCTAGGGGTTGGCACTCTGAACAACCAAAAGATCAGGCCTTTTCTGGTTTAAAGAATTCTCTGGTGTTCCTTGTACCTGGTGTTAAGAAGTTTTCGAGGAGGAGACTAGTGAAAGGTGACCATTATTTTGACTCCATTAGTGACGTTCTTAATAAAGTTGCATCGGAACCGGGCCTTCTTGAGCTTGAAAATGAAGGGCCAAAAGGCAGCGGAGAGGACCTAGAAAATAAGTTGGACCCTGTAATAAAACAAGACCCTGATACTAATTCTCCAAAAGATAAACGTAATTGTTACCTCAAGCCGCGAAAATCTGGCTGCAACCGAGATCTAATGAAGTTTACTATTGTAGATACTAGTTTGGTCAGAGGGGCTGAACGATCTCAAGTTAGAGAGCTCAGAAGCTTACCTGTTGAAGCTACAAGCTTATCCACCCCTTCTAGTATTTCCAGCGATTCTGAGGAGGATACATCGAGTGACTCTGAAGATGAAACAGAAGAGACTAGTACTACAAATGCCCCAGAAGCTGCCATGGTTAATGGGGGAGAATGTGTCGACATTTCGGATTGTGTAAATAGCAACTCAAATATTGCTATTCCCCACACCTCTGATAGAAGCTTTATATCAGTGGAAAATCGAGAAAACCGCAACAGAAGTCTGCTTCATGACTTGGAAGAAAAGATTGAGAAGAATGATTTCAGCCAAAAGGTGAAGCGTAGCGATTCAAAAAATTCAGTTCCTGTTACTAAACTGAGGGTATTGACCGATTGTATCAATGGAGAATCTAGCTGCAGTGTTGAAAACATTTCAGTTGACAGGATGTTAAATGAGAACAATTCACACTGTAGGTCTAATTCGCCCGATGCTTGTGAAGATATGGTTATTCAAACGGGATCACAAAACTTGTCACCTGCGAGTTCTATGTCTAAAGGCAGTCCTGACCGGAGAAAGGAAGGCGTTGTTTCTGAAAACCGCTTGCATGTAGAAGGATTTCCGACAAAGACTCGGTCACATATAATGATAGACTTAAATGTTCCTCAGGTTTCAACTGGGTTCGAAACTGATGGACCCTTCTTCTCAGATATGGTGCAAAACAGTGACAATTCTTGTTCACAGATATCTTTCTTTCAGTCTGAGATAACAGTGCAGCCCGAGTCATTGAATTCGAAGATTCCCGATAAAGGTGCTGACGTCAATCAGCATCCTTCATCGCAAAACCGGAGGCAGAGCACTAGGAACAGACCGCTAACCACAAAAGCATTAGAAGCTCTTGAATGTGGGTTCTTCAATCCCAAGAGGAAGAGAAAGACAGCAGAGGCTTCCCAGAATAACTCACGACGAGTACGTTCGAGGCCTCATGTTAGTGCCCATTTTAGAAACGGTGCTAATAACCCCAACATGGGTGGAACTAAGGATGGTTTCTGCAGTGCCAAGAACACAGCCAGTCAGTCTCACATCACAATCCGAGACACTGAGAAATGAGCGGTGAATCGCAACATACAAACTGTTCCAGAAAGAAACCACACACCCCCACCATGTCCTCCGAAGCACTGCATTTTTCGGTGATTGCTCATTTCGATTTTTGTATTTCCCTAGTCAATCATGTATTCACTGCAACTGTCCGCATGGTCGCTACCAATGTCCGGCGAAAACCCGGAAGTTCAAAACATGTTCATCTTAAACATAAGTCGGTTTCAACGAATGTTGATCTGATTTGGGGTCATAATTTCCAGCCTAAAAACAACTAGCACAGGTGGTTCTTACTGTCTTCTTCATAATTTGACCTGCAAACAGATGACTGTTATTTTTCCAGTTAATTTATCTCTTTCCAATACAAAATCATGTTGTCCAACCTTAACAAACTCGTCCTGTTGTTAAGTAAAGCGTGTTTGGTCTTAGAAAGCTTTCTTAGTTTTCAAGAAAAAACAGTGTGTATAAGACATGGTCAAATGCATGGAGGGACCATGCATTGGGTCCATTTCCATTTTGAGCGTAGCTGATATTTCTCTGCTCACATGGGTAAGGCTTGAGAGACCCCACGTTCATTAGGCCGGTGGTGAATTGATGCTGATGTTAATCGTTAATTTAATCCTATATTCTAATCCCAAATTGCTTTGTTAGTTTAATTAAATAATGCCCTTTTTATATTTATCTTTAAAGAGTCAAAGAGGTATTGGATTAGAAAAGTTTTCTTTTTCTCCCTCCAATTAATCTCCAATTCCTTGGTTGAAAAAATTATTATATGGATCTTATTAATTACCCTAGTTACGGTGTTTATCAGTAAAAGCCCTAGCCGCTCTCTCTTTTTCCTCTTTCTTTTTACTATGAGTTTATGTCATTTTTATAGATCATATCAACTTTTTCTTTAATTTTATTTAACCGGCGATGATATCGGTTTTAATGTTGATTGCCAACCGCTAGTTCTATTCTTTCTATCTTTTTTAATTTTTTAAGAATAATAATTTTGTCTTTATGACACGTTTATCTCTCTCTTTGTGAAACATTTATCTTTATCCTGTGGTACATTTTTCGTTCTTTTATAGGTCATTTTTCGTTCTTTCATGTGTCGTTTGACTGTTCTTTTATTTATGTTTACTCAAGGTTGAATTTTACGACGTAACGTTTGATCAAGATGACGCTTATCTGAAATCTTGTTGATCTTCCCTGCTATGAATCTTCAGATTAAATTTGGATTATTGATTTTACGTTCGTGAATAGTTACTCATGACGCTCGGCTCTGATTTGCGGTTCTCGGTGGTCTTTCAACAGCTTAATTCCCTTTCGTTGTCTGCATGCAGATGCAATTAGATTTGTTCGCATCTATTTTTTGTTCGAGTCTTTTGGTTGGGCTTTTAACCTTATGTATGATCCTTATATGATTTAAAGTGACTAGTTTTAGTGTTATTTATGTATTTAATTTACGAAGATAGGCATAAACTCTTATTATTTACGCTCGTCTGTGATTTACGAAGATTATGGTGTGTATAAAATTTTGGAAGAAAAACATAATATAAATTATCAAAATTATTTGAAGAAAATCATTGTACTCGAGATCTGATATTGATTTTAATCATTATAAGATGGTATAAAAATGTATTTTAATACTGGTTATATATTTAAACATTTATTGTCAAATAATTGAAAATATTTAAAACATATATCATTACCGGTAAAAAACGCGTCCATTTCATAAAACAAAAGAATAATCACTAGTGTGTATTCACCTCGATCAAACCTCACTTTCATGCGAAAAATATATTCTAAAAACAAGAAAGAATACAACGCCATCTTTGTCTCTTGTTTTGTGTTTCTGCATGGGGCTGCTTGGCTAATGTCGATTAGCGACCTGGTTGGTTCTAAATTATTGCAGCATTTGTTACATTCCGGCATCCGATCAAATTGTGCTTACTCTTGTCCTTTAGTAATAATAATAATAATAAAAAGAACATCTGTGTCTTGACATTGTTGTGTTTCCTTCATAAAATATATCGATCAGCCATCGATGATAACTAAGCAATTCTTGTTTATTTATTTATTTATTTGTAACTATTATAGTTGGTGATGGAGATGTTGCAGATGCTTTAAAAAATTGGTATTTGAAATATATGATATTGACCATAGTTTTATAACTTGGCCGATGCTTCTTCATTCGTCTTTCTGTCTCTTTGTTGTCTCTCTTTCTAAAGCCAGTCTTCTGGTGATATGTGTTTAAATATTTGGGTAAGTACTATCACTTTTAGTACTTAAATTTTCATTTTTTTAAACTTAACGTTAAATTTTGAACGGGATTACTAAAATGAAATAAAACTAAAGTTTTTAGCGACGGACAAAGTTTCAAATAGCGGTCGAATAGCAGAATTACGACCGTTATATAGCGGTCGCGGCGGTGTCTGAAACGGCTATCACGGAAAATAACGGTGTGGAGCGGAATCACACCAATAGCGGCGGATCGCGGCCGCAATTTAACTGATCGCGGTCAATCGCGGCAATAGCAGACCGCTGTTCCGCTATTATTCCGTTAATTTAATTTTAAAAAAAACATTTTTTTTATTAAAAAATCAGCTCATTCGAAAAAAATTCACGATCGCGATATCCGCAATGATCGCAATAGCATCCGTTATATCCGCAATCGTGATAAACGCGACGCGACCGAAAACGTGACCGCGAACGCTATTTAAATCCATGGCGACGGATACTAAAATGAAACAAAAGCTAAATTTTAGATATGTTTTGAAAATATTAGAAGTTTAGGTACTAAATCAGACTAAAATTGATAGTTTAAGTACTAAACGCTTAATTTATCCACTTCTTTAACACAGTTCAATCAATCTCTCTTTGAAACTCAATCTTGTTCTCTTTAAATTTAAGATAATCGATCATAATTCTCTGTACGATTCAAAAGAAATAAATTATAAACTGTATATAAATTTCCTTCATTCTTAATCCATTAAATCAGTAGCAACTTTTAACAGCAAAATTGATTAAATGAGGCGTCATATGGAGTGGTGGGAGAAATATTTTTTGAAATAGGGTGATTGTTAAAGAGTCGGGAAAGAAGTACGGATTATCTTGTGACTTCCCCATATTTTATATAATTGGAACGTCAAGGCCAACAGATTAATAAAATAGAAGACACATTGTGATTGTCACGTCTTTTTGAAGACGTATCGTGTTCTTGAGTCTTCTTGTGACACTTAATACTCATACCATCTTAAAAAATATTTCTTCAACATCTCATTTGATAATTTTGCCACTTTTAACCCATTAGCTGAACATCAACCAGAAGACATAAGAAATTAAAACTCTCAACACTAAATATTTGATAAAATAACAATTTTAAATATGTGTAAAATTAAAAGAATTTTTCATTATATATATATATATATTAGACTTAAGGTCTCTATTTGAGTCTTTGATGTTGAAAAATAATATTGAGAGTTTATTTTCTAAAATAAGTTCAAATAAAGAAATGGCAATGAATTAAAAAGAGAGAAGAATGAGGGCAAATGCGATGGAGTTGTCCTATTCCAATTTTGACCATGTTCATATATATTTATATAAAGCCAAATAAGGCCTGGTTCCAATGTTACTTCCTGTGTCAGCTAGAGCTCTCTCTACCTTCACCAGACGAAGGAGATTTCAATTGCCTGCCTTTTGTTTTGTCTTCCTCTACACTGACCCTGATTTTTATGTTCACCAAAAAACAAGCCGAGCCCCACTTTTTGATCAGTTACCACCAACAGCAGCAACGGATTTTGGAGCCAAAGGAAAATCAAAGGAAACAGACAATATTGTTTGTGTTTGTGTGCGCGCGTGTGTGTGTATAATCGTCAACTCTCTTGGTTCGAATTATGTCGAATATTACAGGTGATGATGGAAGCTTCTCTTCGGGTAACACAGGAGAGGAAGTTCAGCAGAAGCCACAGCTGCAATCGGCTGCTTCAAACAGCAATGGCTCTTCTTCCTCTCAACAGCCACTTCAAGCAGTCAAGAAGAAGAGAAATTTACCAGGAACACCAGGCAAAGATCCCATTTTTTCTATGCTGATTTCATGTTGTTTTCTTTCATATGATATTAGGATAAAAAAAACATGGCTTCGGGTGTTGTATGCTTTTGTCTGATGAGGGTATCTTCAAGCTGATGGCTTTTTTGGAAGGTAGAAAAGGGTTCAATTATTGCTATGAGATTTACAATAATTTGCCAGGAAACTGTTTGTTTGATTGCACTTTTCACTTCCCTTTTTGTTTCGGACTGTTGTTATATGGGGCCATTGGTTCTTTTACTATATACAGTTCCCAACAATTCTTATTTAATTTGGTTCTGAACCAGATCCGGCTGCTGAAGTTATTGCTCTATCGCCGACAACGCTCATGGCCACGAATCGATTTGTATGTGAGATATGCAACAAAGGGTTCCAGAGGGATCAGAACCTGCAGCTGCATCGGCGAGGTCACAATCTTCCGTGGAAGTTGAAGCAAAGGACGACGACCGAGGTGAAGAAACGAGTCTACATATGCCCCGAGCCAAGTTGCGTGCACCACAACCCGGCTCGTGCACTAGGTGACCTTACCGGGATCAAGAAGCATTTTAGCCGTAAGCATGGCGAGAAGAAGTGGAAATGCGACAAGTGCTCGAAGAAATACGCGGTTCAATCCGATTGGAAAGCTCATCAGAAGACCTGCGGTACCAAGGAATACAAGTGTGACTGTGGTACCATCTTCTCCAGGTTTAATTTACGTGCTTAATAAACTTTAAGACATTGCATTGATTATATGTTTTTAAGCTCTGCTAAGTGCTAACAAATGTTCTGTTTTCTTGTAAAGATCTTTATCCACTGCTTGTTCTTTATGCAGGAGAGATAGCTTCATCACACACAGAGCTTTCTGTGATGCATTAGCCGAAGAGAACAGCAAGGTAAACCATGGAGCACCGGTGAACAATATAGGATCATCGAACCAACTGCCGGAGCTGATGCCAACGAGCAACGCGAATGCATCTATGGGAATATATGATTTCAACAACTTCGACTCGAAGAACACCCTCAAATCCCTTCCTCAAGAGCTAGTGCCGGTGCCGTTTAAGTCCATGAACATGGGAGGAGGCATGTTTTCGAGCAGCTCGGGCAGTTTATTCTGCTGTCCGAGAAGCATTTCCTCGTCGCCCTCGAGCTTACAACTTAGTTCGAACAGCTCGTCAAGCTTCAATTATTTACTGGACAGCATAAGTGGTTGCCAAGTTTCCGGGTCACCCTACATGTCTGCAACAGCTTTGCTGCAGAAAGCAGCTCAAATGGGTGCAACCGCAAGTAATAGTATAAACTCACCCATGATGCAAAAAAGCTTTGCTAGTAGCATGGAGGGCACCACCGACCAATCGATCCGACCATCGTCGTTTAAC